CTTTCATCTTTGCAGAGCACACAATGTGTGTGGTTCAGATCCCCCTCAGTTTTTCCCACTGCTCCTCTGCTCCTGCCAACACAGAATCCTAGAATGGTTTGGCTTGGAAGGGACCTTGAGGATCATCCAGTTCCAACCCTCCTGCTGTGGCAAAATTGAAAAAGCCATGAGTACAATCCACTTGCTGCCCCCTTCATTTTTGCCTGTTATTCAGAGGCACAAGGTTACTCCAATGAGTCACCCAAAGTGTTTCAGCATCTTAACTCTGTTCTCCAGCATTTGCAACATTACACACCCAACCCAGGGTCCATGTGAGCAGGTGCTGCAGCCTAAAATACGTCTCTCGTTGTAGGCTTGCAGAACTGATGAGCTACATCAAAAGATAAATGTTTAATAATGAACCCAGGAAGGTTGTTGGAAGGACACGAATGCAGCTACACGATGGGAAGAGAAATGGCTCATCCCTGCCCCTGCCAGTGTCTCCTGACATCACCAATGTTCTCCTGAGAGTCTATTTATGCAGCTCCTTTTTAGCTCTCCCTCAGTGATTAAACACACTGAGGTTTGCCACGAGGCTGACAGGGAAGAGACAAGCTCAGAGGACACGACAGGAGCACCTCAGGATGTTCCAGTCACAGCTCTGCTTTGTTAGATCTGACATGCAGGTTTTTAAACTACTTTCACTGCTTCCCTGATGAGTTTTTCCTTCTTATCTCAGCCCCTGGCTATGCAGGGTAGCTGCATTAGCAGCGTGAGATGATCCTGTCAGAGTGGCTCATTCTTTTGCCTCAGTGGGAGATTTCTGCCCTTTTAAGGGAATTAGAATTATTTCAATAATCCTGGTTTCTTTTTGCATGATTAATTCCAAACATCTGAGGCTGACCTCTGTCTTTTGCCTGTCTTGCCATGTTTCCTTATTTTTGCTGATACCATTTTTCTGTTCAAGATAGAGATTCCTCTCTCCTCCCTCTCCTCCCTCTCCTCCCTCTCCTCCCTCTCCTCCCTCTCCTCCCTCTCCTCCCTCTCCTTCCTCTCCTCCCTCTCCTCTCTCTCCTCCCTCTCTTCCCTCTCCTCTCTCTTCTCCTTTTCTATCTTATTTTTCTCTTTTTTCCCCTCTTTTTTTCCTGTTTGATGTGTGAGTGTTGCCTGACACTCAAGAATTTCCTGGGGTTTTTTTGTCACCTGTCTGTAGTTTATCTGCTGTGTGCCACAGGATAGGGGAGATGCCCTTAAGACAAGTACCATGAGGGGTTTAGGACTGGGTGTTTAAACAGTGCCCAACCACTGGCAGATTAAGCAGTCCAGTGCTATTACTGAACAACAGAAGTGACCAGGTTCCTCATCACAGGCTCTTTCTCTGTTCAATATAATAGAAAATAGAAAATAAAAGTCTCTCTATCACAGTGTTTTCTATCAGAAGTAACTTCCCATGTATTTGTCGAGGTACAGAGGTACTTTATCATCTGCGTAGTGAAACCCCTGCATTTTTGAACAAGTATGTTGAGGAAAAAATGAGAGCTGTGAAGTGCTTTCCCACAATGCATATACATGCTGAGTTACCAGAAAGAGCTGTCATATATCAAATTAGATGGCAACATGGAAAAGTTATTGCTCAACGTGGTATCCACAGCGGCCTCAAACACTGTTTCTCTGTGTAAAACAGTTCCTTTGGGCCCTTTCAATTCCCAGTGAAGGCTTTTAGAGACTTTTTTTTCCATATGCCAGAAAAAATATTCATCTCTATCATTTAATTCCCCGTGGCACAGGACAGGGGCTTTTGGAGGTGTCTTTCCTGAGTGTTTCAGTGCCTCTCAAAAATGCTGCTATGGCAGCTTCATTATTAGGGCTGGCTCTTCAGACTGATGTGTGATTTTATCATATTTTTTTCTTTAGCTTTTTTTTTAAACTTAAAAAGCTGTGTGACTGATAGGCTGGAGGGAAGCACAATTTCCTTCCTAAACCAGAGGTATAAGGAAAAACCAGTGCCATCTACTGGGGTCCCAGTGCCACGGGACCAGAACAGCTCCCACTGTGGTTTCTCAATGCAGAAGCACTGGAAAACATTTTACTTGAGCTCCCAGCTCCTGATGCATTACCTTTATCAGCTTGGAGGGGACTGGCTCTGCCCGTGAGATAAAGCACTTAAGGCTTTTAAAAGGCTGGTTTTGGAGCCAGGCAATGCCCTCCCTGCCAGGGCTCCCATTTCAATCAGAGACATCTTGCCCTTCTGCACAGCCCTGCTCACACCACTCTTGCTGCAACACTTTCTGCCTCTCTCATCTTCTGGGACGCAGCACAGGAGCATCCACAGTTTGTCCCTAAAAGCCTCCCAGCCTCATTTTCCAGTCCTGAAGAAAAGAAAAGAGCGTTTAATGGGAACACTGAAAAAGCACCGCAGCGTTCAGCCCTCTGAAATCCAATATCACTCCCCCCCCCCATTTCTCATCACCCTTTGAAGGATTCTGCCTCGAAGCTTTTGTCTCCAGCTCTGCTCCTCTCCAGAAGAGAGGAAGTCAGATGGTTCTGTAACATCTCTGGGGAGACCTAAGATCAGTGTCTGAGCTGTTGATGGGGCCAGGGCTGGCAGTGGCCAGGGGTCACTGCGTGTTTCATTAATATCTGAGAGAGCAAACATAATGAAAAACTGCCCTGCTTGCTGTAAGCAAACAACAGATCAAAACCCATCCGTGCTCTGATCTTCCTTATCTTCTTTTCCCCTCGTTTTTGTGATAATCAGAGGGAGATGAACACCATCCAGGCTCCATGGCCTGCTGCCCGTCTTTATTGCCTCACACAAAATAAATTGTTCCACTGAACTGCGTTTTATGGCGATTCCTTCTCAATTTTCCTGTATTTGTATTTTCATTGTAGCTGTTCCCAGACAAAGGGGAAAAAATGAACAGATTAAAATGTCTGATGAATTCTCTGAAATGCCAAACCAGCCGAAGTCTTTGACTGTCTCATTGCCAAGGACAACTGAGCTCCTTTGTCTGAAACAATTCTCATAATGCAATGACCAGTTGCAAGAGGAGGAAGCCTGGATGTTTCTTGGGCCCTTCATCTCAGAAGTCTGCACAATTACCAGTGTAATTCTCCTTTCCATGAGTTGCTACAACTGTTGTTGAATTCATCACATCTGAAAATAAAATTCACAGAAAGGATAAATTCTCTGTTGAACTTTCTTCCACTTCATCCTTCTGTCCATTTACCAGAAAGATAAAGAGCCCAAGCAGCATCAGCACAAACACTGGACATTAGAAAATGCCTCCTTGTGGTACTGCTGTCATCACCTCCACAGGAAACTTTAAATGCTCAGAAGGACTACAACTCATTATTTATAATTACCTTTTTTGACAGTTTTCTTATTTTTGAAAGCAGCTTAAAAGAAAGCATATTAAAATGGGGGGGAAAAATTCCAAAGACAAAGGAGGTCAAAAGTACCTATCAAATGTCTTGGTTTTGGTTGACTTTACCACTGAATAAGTCTTATAGGCTTTTTTTTTTATTTCTCTTTTTGAGAAATGTAGACCCCAAAGCCTAATTCATCAGAAAAAGCACATTTTAAATAGCTGCTAATGTGCTATTAATGAAGGAAAAGTGCTACTGCACAGCAATCCTAATTACTGTGCAACTGTATTTCATTCTGCACCAGTGAGGAACTGATCATTTAAACTTGCATTTAACAGTTTTGTTCTTATGCAAACACATCAAAAAGAGTCCATTAAGTTCACAGATAGTAAAGATGAAAGCATCTTTAGATGCTTTTAGTTAGAATTTTCTCTACTTTTCAGTTACAATAAAACTACAGGAGGCAGCTGAAATCTCCCAGCTGGGTAAAGCTCAAAGGGCTGACACAGGGCAAGGTTGGTCACCAAGCCCTCAGTAACCTCTTCCTTCCTCCTCTCTTTCTCTCTTGACCCCCTTCGTCCTCCCCTTCACCTCCAGAAAGTTCTGCTCCTTGAAACAGTGGAAAATTTTACATTTCCCTCCCAGGAACATTTGTTCAGCCATTGAACTAATAAATGAAACCCTCGGTTCTGCCAGTGCAATTATCTGCATTAGCAACATATTTATTTTTCATCTTTTCTTTCAGTTGTTTTGCCTTTTAATTACCTTTCCTTGTGATTAAGGGTAGTCACATTCTAAATTCAATCACCTTGAAGGATAACATAAAATAGTTTAATCTTTTATTATAAAACTCTTACGTGGGATCTGGTGTTGCTGTAATTTTGCTGTTGAGAAATTGCCCTTTTCCCTTGTCTGCTGCTGCCTTGTCTTTTACCTCTGAACAATAAACTGAGGAACAGTCTCAGTTCCAGGATACAAAACATGTATTTTCTGTACCAGAGCACCACAGTTTTTTCCCTCCTGCTGTTAGATTTGTCTTTTTGTCTGATCAGCAAAGAAGGAGCTGTCGTTTTTTGAAAGGTACTCTGAGATGAAGCATTTAAAGTAGTAAAATACTGGTCAGGTCTCTCGTAATTTACAGGAGAACCCTGCAGGATGGTTCACTTTTGGTCTTCATGCAGTGAATACAACAATATAATATTAGTGCTGTGTAAACCTACTATGCCAATGCTCTAAGTCTTCAACAGGTCACCACAGGGGTTTTTTTTCAGCTTGAAATCAAAGCCCCTCTGTTTCTTTTCTGAATCTCAGTGTAGACTGTATTACCCCAAGAAGTAACTTGCTCAGAGGCAATTTGTCAGTGCTCTCCACCAACAGATTTTGTGTTTTAGCCCAGACATTGTGCTTTTTCATCATGAAAAAAAATACTTTTTCTCTAGAGAAGACGAGGAGGAGAAGTGGAACACTTTCTGCCGGTACCTGGGGATTTTGGGTGCCTGGTTTGCAATTCTCTGCTTGTGACCCCCTGAGCTGTGTTGGACAATAAATACATGCCCTGCCTTGTCCTGTGGGCAAGTTCATCAGGGTGCTCCCTGAAATCTCTTCCTCCTCAGGCAATGCTACTGACACCTTTATTTCTGTTTCCCTCTCAGTTTGTGGCTCACCCCAACTGCCAGCAGCAGCTGCTCACCATGTGGTACGAGAACCTCTCGGGCCTACGGCAGCAATCCATAGCTGTGAAGTTCTTGGCTGTCTTTGGAGTCTCCATTGGCCTGCCCTTCCTTGCCATAGCCTACTGGATCGCTCCCTGCAGCAAGGTACAGCCTCAGCAAGGTGCAGGGGGTGGTTATTTCATCCAGGGCGTGGAATGAAGTCACATATTTTTTCCATCACGTTGCTGGGAAGCGATTCGTGGTACCCTCTGAGGTTGCCCAGGGGAGAGCAAGCCTGAGGTGTTGCTTGACAAACACACCTGGAACTAACAGGCATGGCTTGAGATGCATCCTTTTTAAAGGTGGGATGGTGGGGAAATAAAGTGGGTGACAAGAAAAGAACAGGAAGAAATGGATAGGAGGCAACAACACAGGAGTGGGGTGAAGAAAGGATAAAAGCCACCAAAATTTGAAATAACTAAAGGAGAAGATCCTCATTGCTCTTTTAGTGATGTTTAAACTCTTGTTACTTTTATGTACTTTTTGTTGCAGGTTCCTCCCCTTTCCAGGTCTCCTTTCTTCCCTTTCCTTCTCCTTTCTGAGCTTGTGGTTTTAGTTAGTGGAGCATTATTTTGGCACTTGGGCCTGAAAGTCTGGCAAGCCCCGGGGAACTTCTTAGTGTTGCAGAGATTAGACTGAATCATACAATCCTGATGCTTTTGAGAGAAAAGATTATGAAACTTGAAATAATTCAGTGTAACTAAATACAGATCAGATGGAGCAGAAGGGTTTTTGAGACCCAGAGGTCAAAGGACCAGAGCCAACCTTTAGTTTAGATAAAGATTATGTGGTGTGGAATGAAATTTGTAGAGGTTTCCATCCTGAAAGAGTCTCCTCAAACAAGTGGAGATAAATAGGTGTATGTCTGAGTGATAAATAAACTACTCTTGCCACAGAAAAAGAAGATCATTTCACATTCAGCAATAACCAGTAATATCATCCATTACAAGGTAGACATCTTCTGCAGGAGGCTTATCACAGGTATTTAAATTTGATCAAAGTGACCCTGGCACTGATAATATATTCAGTCTTGAAAATATTTTCTCCCCTTTCCTCTAAAAACCAGTGAGGAATCCTTTCTTAATTTATCCAGCCCAAAAAATTATAGATCCACGACCAAGTGTTAAGGAAAAACTATAATTTGAAAAGATTTATGTTTGCACAATCAGAAAAACAGTCTTTCAGGATGTCCAAGATAATAAAAATTTTTGGTCTCCTCCAAAATAGCTCCAAGAAAAGTACTTTCTCTTAGAGCAGTTGGCACTGCAACTTCATCTCCTCAAGGTTTGTACCAGCACAAAGCCCCTCATCTTTTATGAATCACAGACAGGACCCCAGAGTTGCACAAAGAGATGTTTGTGTGCAAGCTGGGCTGTGCTAAGGGTGGTTTGGGCTGGGTTGTAAAGGGAATTAATGTGTGGCATTACCACGTGGATTCACTCATGGCAGACCCCAGTCTAGCAGGGATTTAAGAAGCTCTTTAATTTCCTTCACCTTTGTTGAATGTGCTGGGAGTTGGCAAACCAGCCAACAGCAGCATTTGGGGTGTGTTCTCAGAATTACAGAGGTCACATTTGAATATAGCAACAGGTGGGAAGAACAATTAGACCAGAAATAAGTGGAGAATTTAAATGAAAGGCATGAAAACTAAGGAGAAATAAACCGAGGTTAAAAAATTTAAAAATAAAAGGGTTATACAACAGAAAAAAAGAAATTCCTGCAAAAGTTATGTGTATTTAATTTCTTGAGGGAGGTTTGCTGAAATTAAAAATGGAGGGGAAGGGATATAACTTCTCACCAGCTTTGATTTCATTACTCTAAACCTTTCATGCATTCTCACTTTTCAGTGTTCCTTTCTTTTCATCTCACTTTAGACTGTGAAAAACAACATGTAACCTTCTAGCACAGGGTCCAATTGACATTTCTTTCAGCCAGGGACTGTCTTTCAATGCATAGATTTGCCTTGATCAGAACAATGGAGTCTTGATTTTTTGATTGTGGGAGAAATAACTGAATAACAAATGCATTTTTCCCCCCCTGAACTGGTACCTCTCCCTAAATCATCTTTATTAAGTTCCAGGGCTGGGGGTTGATCCATGAGCTTTGGATCCTCTCACAGAGTAACTGCAGAAAATTTCCCACAGGCAGCAGATCCACTGAAAGGATGGGGGTGTTAGAGATGATTTGTGTGTGATGCAGAGGATTTGTGATTCTGAGCAGCCCAGTTTTGTCCTGGTCAACTTTACAAGTGTTTTACTTGGTTTTAACTGACGAAAACAATCTTGATACACAGCTGGGTAATGAAACATTTTTTCCATAGTAACAATCAGTTAAGATATTTGACTTAAATCAGGCCTGTTTCAAAAGACACACTGATGCCCAGGAATGAGTCAGGGATTAATTTCTGGACTAAGGCAGTGAGAAAAATGAGGGAAATCTCTAATGAGGAGTACTGCTTATGGGAGCCGCCCTGACCAATCCTACTGCGTGTCACATTCTTAAGATGATCAAATTCTGCAGTTCCACATAGAATAATAGAGGAATTCATATCTCAAAATAATCCCTTCCCTCATGCATCTTAGCAAGAAACTTGTTTTCAAACCTTTCCTCCCTAGTAGAGAATTTTCTTTAATAAAGCTCTGTGGGGTTAGACTGGACCATACCAAATACCCCCTCAAAAACTTGGTGAACAGTATTGACTGGAGTTTGCATCTCAGCTTTAAGTGTTCTTTTGCATTCAGTTGCACAGAACTGTCTATTTTAAAACCAGTTTTAGTGTCAGTGATTCATTCACCTCTGGGTGCACAAACTGTTGACAAGAGCTGTGAAGTTTAAGCCTGTCCTGTCCTGAAATATCCAGGTTGACTCATCCACCTCTTTTAGGCCATGACTCTTGAAATGAAATGTTAGTCTCCAAAACCTTTTTCACTGGTGATCAAAAGAGGAGATAAAAGATTGCAACAGAAAAATTGTACAGTCTGTTGCCTGAAAATATAATGACAAGAGCTCTACTTTTAAAATATTTCCTGTTCCTCAGTGACCAGAGAGCTGGGCTGCTTTGAACTAATCTACCCTAAGAGATAAATAAAAACCCAAGAAATTTCCTTTTTCAGTCCTTTTTCATATTTTTATGGAGTTTTATGATTAAGTCAGTAGATATTAAGAAAAATTTGATGATACCTTGCCACCAAGGGGAATTTGCTTTGAGGGATGTTTGCAAAGGGCCCATCCAGGACAGCTCTTCCACTGCTCCCTGTCGTGTCCAACACCACAGGCTTCAGTCCCAGTGCTCCTAAAAATGCTTCCACTCTGACATTTTTGGGAGTACTGCTTTTTTTTTTAGTTCACAGAAAATGTAAAATTAAAAGAGTGGTACTTAAATTCATTGACAAAGAAAGCCTCTCAAGAAAAATGGAACAAATATTATCTGTAGAGAAGAGACCTGCTGCTCTGGTTCTTGGCTTAATGTCCTGAAATAAATCCTTGTGTTCTGGGAGTGATTCCCCAGATTTTGTAGTAATTATGACAGAAGATTATGGAAGCAAAGAGTATTAAAAGCGTTGCTAGAGAATATTTAGACAGAAGGTTGTTTCTTACACATTGATAATGAAGCAAGAATTCTACATTAATAAAAGATTCTAATATATAACAGTGATTTAAGGGTGAGAATTGGGTCTAGGATTTATAGTGACAAATAAGGACATTCATACTCACATATACAAACAAACATGTCTCTCATATAAATGTCCTGTCTCTTCATTTTCCACCCTCCATATGGCCAGGACAATTAGATGTTACATGTGGGTTTAAAGGAGCAATATAAGATAGAAAATTATCCAGTGCATAATGTTTAGTAATAGCAAACAACAACTGGAACAAATCTAAACCCTATTTACTTAATGATCCACAATTAAGTTCTGAATCCTTTTTACCTTGGGCAAACCATAAAAACTTCTGTGGGAAAAAATTCAAACGTTCATATTTTTGCTCTCCTCCAAAATAGCTCCAAGAAAAGTACTTTCTCTTAGAGCATTTGACATTGCAACTTCGTGGGAACTTTTATGGGAAAAAATTCAAACGTTCATATATAGGAATAGAATAATATTCAAATTTTTATAGGGAAAAAACTTCCAGGAGGTGGATAAATTAAAAAAAAAAAACAAACAAAACAGTTAAAATCTTCTGTGTTTTTTGTGTTCCACTGCAGCTGGGACGGACCCTCCGAAGCCCCTTCATGAAGTTTGTGGCCCACGCAGTTTCTTTCACAATCTTCCTGGGGCTGTTGGTGGTGAACGCGTCCGATCGGTTCGAGGGAGTCAAAAATCTCCCCAACGAGACCATCACGGATCACCCCAAACAGATCTTCAGAGTCAAAACAACTCAATTCTCCTGGACGGAACTGCTCATCATGAAGTGGGTGTTGGGTAAGTCAAACCAGACGTCTACAAGCCCTCGGGGGAAATTTGAGCTCTTTAGGAATAACGTGACAAAGGAAAAGGAGAAAAAAAAAACAAACCCAACCAAAAAACCAAACTAACCAAACAAACAAACAAAAAAAAAGTACCCCTAAACCAAGAAAACTCCCCAAAACTGGAAACAAACCACCATAAACCTGGAGGTTGATGACAGAATTTCGATTAAAAGAGGATAAAAACCTGTAATTTTTGTCACTGCTTTTGAAACTGTTGAAGGATGCTTGGCAAATTCTCACTTTCCTGATTTTCCATTTTCCATGGTCAATGCTATAGATGTTGCCTGTTTGCCTCTGCTGGTTTAATCACTGCATTTTAAAGAAGGTAATATTATAATAGAAAGTTGTAGCTTCAATCTAGGATGTTGCTCCATCTCAAGTGAGCAGAAGAAAGCGTAGGGAGCCTGCCTGATTTATTACCCTGGGATCCTATTATGATCCTATTATAATTCACTGAACCTCAGTTATTTTGTCTGCAAAATGGAAATAATGTTATTGGCCTTTTTTTTTTGCAATGCAGTCTGAGATCTAGTGATGAAAACTGCCAGGCAAGTAAGAGTTGGATTTTATGACATCCCCAGCGTGAAATTCTTGCTGGTGAGAGGACAGCACAGAGCTCAAATCTTTTAGAAGAAATTAAGTTATTCAACAATTATAAAGTAAGGATTCGTGTGGGTGAACCCTTCAAGTGCAAAAAGTATGTCACAGGCACAGGTTAAATTTCCAAGGAGTTTAGGCAGATCCAGATGTATTACTTTTCCTCCAGGCTTCATTTATTCCTGGCAGATCAGTCAGCTTGAACCACTAATCTAAACAAGCTCAGGAGGATTTATTGGGAAATTGAGCTTATCAACTCTGCAGAATCTTTCTCCACCTCTTTTATATCTATTTTTGCTCACCACCATGATTCGGATTCTTTTCTTGCAGCAAATAATTCCACTGTTCCATAAGTACTGATGGCATTAAATCCCCTGAAAAATAGGATAGGGCTGCTCTATCTGATGACTTCCTGGCCACTGTTTCTTTGTTCCCTGTCCCTGCAATAATCAGAATCCCATCCAGGATATTAGGCTAGAAAATACTGAATAGATGCCAGACTGGATAGAGTAAGCCTGTAAGATATATTTTTAAAATGATATTAAAGCAGTTGGACAAGATGATTAGATTTTAGACTAGGTATTCTTTCCTTATAGGCAGTAGGTATCCATCTGCTTGGTGAGTTCCTGAGAGATGAAGAAGAAAACATTTCATTTGAAGCGAAGGTTTTCACTTTTCCGGGAGAAGAAAAGTGATTCATTGTCCAGACTCCTGAGTATAATGAGATTTTCTAATGACTGCCTACATCTGCACTGACAATCTGCTCTGGCCATTTTACCTGCCTGCCTACAGAAAGCTTCAAACAATGGTTCAGCAATCCTAGAGGTGAAAGTTTGGTGCAGATGGCTCAAAGCTGGCACAGGGACTTGGGCACTTACTGAGCCCCACGTGTGACCTTGAACTTTAAGGACTGTGAAAGCACTAAGGGTGGTGACTGATCAGCTTTTTGGTGCTAAAAGCTTATAGGTATTATAAATATTTATAGGTAAGTAGAAATATAATTAAATAAAAGTGGCTGACATAGATCGACTTAGTGGCCTTCTATGATGGAGTGATTATGTAAGTGGATGAGGGAAGGGCTGCAGATGTCATTTAACTGAACTTCTGTAAAGCCTTTGGCACTGCCCCCCACAAAATCCTTCTCTCTAAATTGGACAGAGATGCATTTGATGAGTGGACTATTAGGTGGATTAGAAAGTAGTTGGACAGTCACATCCAGAGGGTGCTGATCGATGGCTCAGAGTCCTGATGGACATCAGGGACCAGTGGTGTCCCTCAGGGGCCCATACTGGGACCAGTGGGATTTAATATCTTCATTGACAAAGGGATCTAGTGCACCCTCAGCAAGTCTGCAGCTGATACCAAGCTGAGTGGTGAGGCTGACACACCTGAAGGATGGGATGCCATCCAGAGGGACCTGGACAAGCCCCAGAAGTGGGCCCATGGGGATCTCATGTTAACCATGACCAGCTTCCCCCTTTGTACATGGGGCACAGCAATTCTGGCTCATGTATCTGGGACTTGTCTGTCTCCCCTGTGGCCAGGTCTTCCCTTCCATTGCCTTCAGATGAGGAAGGCTGGGATTTTCCTGATAAGTGGTATGGACAAAGTGTGTGCTGAAAGCAGGGAGGTTTTATTGCAAGAGGCAAAATCCCCACTGCAAAAGCAGCCAGGGTAGCAGTTGGACTCTGGATAGATGCAGTCTGAGCACTATTAATCTCTTAATCCAACAGCCTTTGGTGGATGCAGGAAGGCTCAAAGGCATCTCTGCAGCATCAGCTGCTCCTGATTTATGTCCCAGGCCAGCGGATATAAAATCTGACAAACTGCTCCTCTGTGCACAGGTGGTGAGCAGCACTTCTTGCACACTCCCATTTTTCTTCCAGATGGGCTGTGCCTGTAGCTTAACTCTCCTTCCCCTGCTGAAACCAGACCTGCTCATCAAGGTGACATTTCTGATCATTCCTGCTGTGGGGGGAATAAGAGACATGCAGGAGCTGGAGAGCAGGAGCTGCTCATATCCCACATCTCCGTGCATCAAACTCAGGGAAATGACCTCTGGCAGAGCCTGTGGGGGCCTCAGAAACACCACATTTAAAAGACATCCTGGCAGAGCTGCTTTACCTACTTACCTTCCCTTATTTCTTGCATCCCACCTTACGTCCCATCTCCTGAATTTTAGCTGCTTTTTCTCTTCTCAGTACTTTTACTTAAGGAGAAGCTTTGAAATATTCTCTCCCAATGTATATACAATTATCCAGCAGTACTGACTGAATAATTACTGGAACTTTTCTGCTTGTCCTTAATAGACATTTTTAAAAAATGATTGCCACAGAGCTGGCAAAAAGAATAATTATAGGCCAATAGTGTGATACTTTCACTGAGTGATTCTAATTTTAGTCAGTCCACTCAGTTTTAGACACTTCTTGCTCCATTAATCTGTGACTTAGGTATAGTAAGTGAGCAAGATTAGAAATAAATTTGGATGGGAGAGTTAATATTTCAACCAGAAAAGTCATTTCTGGTCATCAGAGGAGGAGTGCTTTTTTGGGCAATGCTACCACGTGACTTTTCCTGGAGAGCTTTAGTACCTTTACACGACACACACGCGTCACACGCAGGGCTAATGGCTCCTATCCATCATTCCAGGGAATTTAAAAAGCATTTTAAAGCTGGAAATGTTCCTTTAATATTTCATCCTCGCTCCAGGAAAATTCCTGAGAAACCAATTCTTCCACCTGCTCCCTGAGGCTGTTTATTATTAAACCTTGCTCGTGCTGAGTGACAGTTTGGGACGAAGTTCCTGCTTTTACTCAGCCAAGCACCGGCAGAGGTTCCTCTCCTGCCCTCCCTCTACTCAGCATTCGGATCTCTCCCAAGAAAGATCTATACAGGGCATAACCTATGTCAGGACACATCTCCAGGGACATTCCAGGGCTGTGGAGGTCACAGGCTGGCTGTGCCTTGTCTGATGGGGGTATGGAAACCTTTGCTTTCCTTTCTCTCTTTAACTCCTTCCCTGTGCAGATCTGCTGAGTGCTGAGCAGAGGGAGGGCAGCAGAGGAACCTCCCAGCTCCCCTCCTCAAGCCCCCAGCTACTTGACTGAGTAAAAGCAGAAACTTCATCCCAAACTGCCACTCACCATGAATAAGGTTTAATAATAAATAGTCTAAGGAAGAGGGTGGAAGAATTGGTTTCTGAGGCTCTCTCCCAAGACAGATCTATACAGGGCATAACCTGTATCAGGGCACATCTCCAGGCACCCACCTGGAGACTTCAGGGCTGTGGAGGTCACAGGTTAGCTGTGCCTTGGCTGATGGGGCTGTGGAAAGCTCAGCTTTCCTTTCTCTCTTTCAATCCTTCCCTGCACACAGGGACTGACAGCAGCAGCTCTTCACTCCTCCACCCTCCGGCTGGATTCCCACTGACCTGTTTCCCTGCCTGTAACCCAGGTTTCCAGTGCCCCTCCTGGGACACCCTGTGCTTCCAGGAGTCTCAGAAGCAGCCAAGCAATTGCATTTCTGTGCCACACCACGACAGCTTCCAGCAGAGAGGATGAAAGGAGTTCACAAGAAGGAGAGGATTGCAGGAGGCCACGTGGAAATCGGCAGGCGCTGCTCCTTCTTGATTAAACGAGAATTTTGCTGCTGCTATGGAAACAGGCTGGGGAGAGTGCAGGGAATATTTATCAGTGGGTTAAATATTCCAACACTTTATCTATTCAGGAGCAGGGTTTGACCCTGGAGCCCTGCTGTGATTGAAGGTTGGGTAAATTAGTGAATCTGCCCTGAATCCTTGCCCACTGAATTCACCTGTCTGCCCCAGCACTTCCCAATAGGAGATAGATGTCAAAACATTTGAACTCACTGAATTTGGCATTTACAGGTTTATCTGTGAGTCTGTTGTCAGAAATCCTAAATTCAGTGTTTAAAGTGGTAGATCAGAGTTTAATGTATGGAAAATCATTATTTAATTCCAAAAGCTTTATGAAAAGTATTGCAAGGGCAGAACTTCTGTCTTACCCTTTCTTTAATCACACTGAACTTAATCCTGGATCTTTTCTCTTGCACAGCTCTGTTTGCACTCTCAAAATGAACCCACCCACTTCAGGGAAGGAGAAAAACAGCAGCAGGGCAAGCAGTGCCATCTTCAGTGGCACCATTTGGCAAGAAGATTTTGGGAACAAGAGAGGAAATCCACATTTTTCCCAAATATAGCAGCAACAGGATTTTCTAGTGTCATCAGAATTTCTGAACTCTGCTTTCTGTCATCACCAGAAATCATCTTTGCCATTGACTTATATAGTGATATTTTGAAATTTCTGCCTCATAAGCACAAAAGGACACATGAGCTAAAACTTTGAAAGAATTTTTAAGAAAAGGTGGCGTGAACCATTCTCAAGAAATTCAGTTAAATTAAAGAGTTATTTGCTTCAGTTTTAGAAGCCACTGTTGGCCAGGAAAGAGGTCTGTCTGAACACAAACACACCTTCTGTGTCTGAACATACACACACCTTCTGTTAAACACGTCCTGTCCCCTCCACAGGTATGATCTGGTCAGAGTGCAAGGAGATCTGGGAAGAGGGGCCACGGGAATATGTGGTGCATCTCTGGAACCTGCTGGACTTTGGGATGCTGTCCATCTTTGTAGCATCATTCACTGCCAGGTTCATGGCTTTCCTCAAAGCCTCTGAAGCACAACAGTACGTTGACCAGTACGTTCAAGACGATGACCTCAACAACGTCACACTTCCCCCTGAAGTTGCTTATTTTACCTATGGTAAGGTGCTTTCTGTTCTCTAATACTTCCCGTTCTTTTAGGCTAATGTGTGGCAGTGCTGAAAGCAGGTTTCTTTTTGGGGATATTTATGTGGTTTTTTTCTAATTAAACCAAATTATTCTTCCCAAGTCTACCCATTCCAGCCATCTTCCTAAACAGTCAGAAAGGATCTGAGCCTCACTCAGTCTCTGATACTGTCCCGAGTCTACATTCAGGTCAATCACATCCTGAAAAAGCAGCTTGAGCAGCAGATAATCAGGAACTGGGAGTGAGCAGAGTATAATTTGCATTACAGATGAAGTAACCTGCTTGGTTTTCCAAATGTGAGAGGAGGGAAATGTGTGAATAAATATAGGATGTGGGGCTGCATCTCTAACTGTCGGTGCACTCCGCGCTTCTGTTACATCCAACACCTGTATAATGGAAATAAAAATAGCAATTACATCCATAAGCTGCTGCTCTTCAAAACCTGTATTTTTGTAAAGCCTAAATCATCTGTAAGTGCTAAAGCAGCAGCAGTGCCCAGACAACATTGGTTTTGATGGCTGAAATGGTTTTTATTTGCTGTACAGCATGGGGACTGTATCCACTGCACTCCTCTGCAAGCTTTACTTGTCACCCTGAGCAAACCCCAGGAGGATTTTTGCTCACAGGAGCTCCAGAGATGGGCACCAAGGAACACCATTTGCTCCCTAGAGTTGTAAGGTGGTTGTTCCAGTGATGTGCTTGGGCTGGAGAGGGGGATCTGAGGCAGCAGATTTCATCCGCTGTAGACGTGCCCACACAGCACCAGGGACACGAAGCTGGACCCCACAGCCTGGTGGTCCCACCAGCTCAGCCCCTTGCTTGGTATGTCCCCCCTGAAGGGAAACATCCCTCCTTCTGCCCAAGCAAGAGAGAGGCCATGGAGATGATGGAGTTTTTCCCTCTCTGGTTTGCTGCCGATCCATTTAAAGTGAGTTCATGATCCAAAGGTGCAAAGGATCCAGAACAGAATATCACAATGAGATTCTGTGAATTTGTCCATCTGCTGCTCTTCCTTTGGTTCAGATTTTGCTGCAAATAATGTCTAAGTTTACTGCTGTGGTCCTAAAGATATCACATGTTTTAGCCCTGAGCCACAGTCTTTTCATCAAGAAGCTCAGTTGACTCAGGGTCGCTCATAAACCATATTAATATAAATGTTCAAATTTTCAGTAGATTAAGTAAATGATGCATATCTGGTATCAACAAGGAGCTTTTTTAGGTAAAAATATTAGAGTGACTAGACTGAAGAACTGGTTTTAATGTAAAGATAACATGAAAATTATACAGTTTTATCTGTATTTTATTATACATTTTATACATATTTTTATATATTTTTATATATATATATATCTGCTTTACCTGAACAAATCCTAACTTTCTTATCTAGTGGTGGGGATAGAGATCTCAGTCTCCCTTCCCAAATACTGACACAGTGCCCTGTATAAAATCTATAGCTATACTCCGCTGTGTTGTGCTTTTGGTTCTCCATCTCAAGAGCTTCACGTGGAAAAGGCACAGCACAGTTGACACTCAACAAACAGAAAATACCGAGTTTGTTTAGAGCCATGCTATTTTTTTGCTGTGTGGCTTCAGTGAATCCCAGTGACTTGTTCATTTCTCATCTTTACCGCGTGAAAAACGCAACTAACTCACTAATTCTCCAACATGCTGAGGACTTCAGTGCACAACTGTTCCAAAGCTGGTTTTTTTTGTCTTTAACTCCTGGCCAAAGCCAAGATTCGGTGCAGAAAAGGGTCATTTATGGTGATAGCTTCCACCTACCACTCTTTGTTACTAACACCCCGTGTACATGTATTGTTTTAGCCAGGAACAAGTGGCTCCCCTCGGATCCCCAGATCATTTCAGAAGGCCTGTATGCCATAGCTGTGGTACTCAGCTTCTCCCGCATTGCTTACATTCTTCCAGCCAACGAAAGCTTCGGCCCCCTGCAGATCTCCCTGGGCAGGACCGTGAAGGATATCTTCAAGTTCATGGTCATCTTCATCATGGTGTTCCTCGCCTTCATGATCGGGATGTTCAACCTTTACTCCTACTACCTTGGTGCAAAGTACAACCCCGCGTTCACCACGTGAGTAGCTGTGGGGAGAGCGGCTGTTCCCTCCTGTCTCGGGATCTTTGGGAACTTGGCTCCAAACATCCTCCTCTTGTGTTTTAGGGAGATGTTCCTAAAAAAGCCCAACCAGGGTTCCTTGCAACCTGTGCCAAATCTCATGTGGTTTCACAGGAATCTAAAAGGGAGAAAGGCTCAATCCCTTCTGGGCTGTTGCTGGTGCTCTGGTGGTTTCTGTTGGGGGGGAATCACACCCAGGTTTTGACGGGGAAACTCGACCCACAGCTCCAGCCCTGGCAGCCAGCCCTAGGCCTGAGTGTAGGGAGCCGAGTAAGTTCAGAAATGGTTCTTTCTGGAAATCAAAATAGCAGGTCAGGAGAATGTTTTGTGAAGATGCTCAGTTCATTGTGTCAAGAGATGCAGTGGGGAAGAAGTTAAACCTAAGATTACTGTTCTTAAAACTGCAAAGTGAAACATACGTAAAATAAGGGAGGATTTTGCTTCCCTGAGGTCCAAGGCCGTGGGTTCAACCCCCATAGGGTCCATTCACTTAAGAGTTGGACCTGATGATCCTTGTGGGTCCCTTCCAACTCAGAATGTCCTGTGATTCTGTGATCTGTTTTAGGACATCACCTGAGTGCAGCTGTGATTGTTGGGTGCACTTCTGCAGAGCCAGCTGCTAAGTCATGGTGCTCAGAACAGAGCAAAACAAACCAGGGTGTCTGGGATGTGGTTTCTAAGTCCTGACTGGGAACTTTTCAACAGAGGCCATCTGAAAGCTGTGTGCCTTAGGGACACAGTGGGGACTTTCCTGCTTGTCTGTGAGGGAAAGCTTGGCATAATGTTTTCCCCTTTCTGTGAGCTGACTTCCAGGAAACTACCCCAGAGCTGCAGTGCCTGAGCCCACGGTGGTTTCCAGGTGCAGAGCAGACATTTGATGCTGCATTTGATGTGTCAATTCTCTGACATGTTACACAGAGAGCTTGGGGCTTAGCTCATCACTCCTCTGGGAGAAAGGGCCTTTTCAGCATCATTTTTGTCCTGCAAGTGGCTGTTGCCTTCCAGGTTTACCACACCACCCTCTTGTGCCACATGTAACCTGTAACATTACATTTGCTTCCTCTAGTCGAGCCAAATATGCCTCCTAGGCCTCTCCTGTAGGCTCAGGGGGCATTTTAATGGAAGGATTTATGAGACCAGATGCATTTACATTTATCTGTGCTCAGCGGTGAGGGAGAAGAAAATTGAGTGTGTGGACTGTGACTTGCTTCAGATTTGAAGAGAAGGAGATGCCCTTGAAGCATAAGACTTAATGAGAAGTTGAGTCACTGCCATCCCTGACTGCCTGGTGGCACAGCAACCCTCACTTGTGGTATCCCCCAGGCACGTCACTGACAAATTCCAGTCTCTGATACACAGTAACTCTCTTATTAGTACTCATTAGCTAAGTGGATCTTCCAGGAGTTGCCATCATTTGATTGAAATAATGAGCAAACATTCACTAAAAATGATGACTGCTCAGTGGAGTAAAGATTGCTCAAATGCCCGGGGGATATTTGGGCTGGGGAGAGCTCTTCCTCCTTAACTTCAGCCTGCTGACTACTTATCCTGGAGGGACTTCATGTTGTTATAAAGCAAATTTTCCATGAGCATAAACCTTTCTTTTTAAGAATTTGGAAGAGATTTTAAAAATACTTACTTTCTTCTGACTATTTAAATACTCAGGAATGTCAAATGATGATCAGAGAAAACGAGCCCTTTCATCGTATGAAACAAAGAGAATAGATTTACATTCCTCCCGAAAATCCTTCTTAGACATTCCATTCAGCAAGAAGCCCCTGGGGCAGACAGTCTCAAACAATTTTAATAAGCTAATTACAAGGTTATTTTAGCAGATGGGCAGCCACCAGCTATAGTAATGTTTCCTCTTTTATTTTTTGTGGCTGTCTGTGGGCCTTGATGAAGGTTGTGGCTCCTGCTGCCATTAACTCACATGTGAAAAGGAGGAAGATTCCAGTATTAGTGCTAAAAAAGGAGCTCAGCTGTTCATTCCCTGAAAAATCACCAGGGCTAAGAAGAATGTTGCTTAGTTTGGTGTCCTCACAACCCCTCTGTGGCTGCGACTTCAGCGACATCGCCGGATGCGTTTCCTGGGGGTTGTTTGGGAATTCTAATGAGGATGGGTGACATTTTACAGCAAGCAAGTTTGGCCCTGACAAATGTGACTATTTGACTGTGGGACCTGATTCTCAGAGGTCACTTGGGTAGTTGTGACAGAAGAAGACCCCGCAGATTTGGGCATTTCATTGACTGTGGCAGCTTCGAGGAGTGTTGAGTCGACACCTCCCTGGATGGGCCCAGTGGGAACCCTTGGACAAAGAGCTGCTCACTAAAATAACTCCAAATTACACTTTTATGAAAACCACACCTTCCCAGGACAGTATGTAGGCAGAAAAAAGAGTGTACTTTTGTGCAGATCACACTCAGAGGGAATTGCTTGCTAAGTTCTAATGTTAGTGAATGTTTGGTGCAACTTGACTTTCACCTTTCCTTGCTATTACATTTCTGAAATCCTGCTTGATTTCTCTTCTGTTGTTACCTACAGAGCAAGAATGTAGCACCCCAGTGGCCTCTGAATCGAGTTATTACACAAAGTTTCTCTCATTTCTTCCATTTTGATGTTCTGGATGCAAAGGAAATAAAAATGTAGCGGGCTTTACTCCACAGAGCTAAATATAGAGATTATTTACCTAACCATGGGACACTTTCAAAAATTTTTGGAGGTTCTTCCATGCTAAAGATCAGACCATTTCTACCCCCAGCTATGTTTATCTGTTTATCATATGCTGTGTACAGCACACAGCTCTTGAAACAGCCTGTAATTAAGAACATGCCATGCAAACAAAATCGAGATGGAGGCAAGGCTGATTGTGTTCCTCTTACTTTGTGCATCACAAATCAGGCTGAAGGCTACAACACCAGGCTTTCTGTCTCCCTCTCCCCAAAGGGAAATGTGACTCACTGTTCAGAGCCAATGCTGCTTCGAGGCTTGAAGGTTTTTTTCTACTTGTTTTGCTTTGTCAAAATGTGATAGTTTTGTAGATTATATTGGCTGCACTGTTTTTTTTGGCAGTGATAGTTCTCCAGCTCATTTAAGGAAATCAATCTGAAAGGATGCCTTAAGCTTTCTTAGAGAGGAGGGCACAAGACTGACATGAAATCATAGCCTTGCTGTGATCTTTTTTGATAACAGCACACTGCTCTTTACAAAAGTGAGGAAAATCTGTAACTAGCTTATTGTCTATGGTCTGTTTTCTTCCTTGATGCAAAATCTTGAGGTTTTACTGAACTCTGAGGTCTGAAACAGACAAACAAATAGAAAATTATCTCAGTTGTCTCCCCACTGCAACAGTTGGTTCTCTCACAGCAGAGAGGGAGATTGCAGCAAACCCACCTCCCCAAGGAGCATCAGTCAATCTGTCACTGCCAGCCCCTCCTGCTGCCAGGAGCTGTCAGTCTGGGCAGGACTCCTGACTTCCTCCTTCCCTTCATTTGTCTGTCTTTGGGAAGGATAAAACACCAGCTGACCTCACAGGAAGGGGGTAAATTGCTTATCTGGCAACGACGAGACACATCTTGGGATCTTTGGGAGCTTGGCTCCAAACATCCTCCTCTCATGTTTTAGTGAAATGTTCCTAAAAAAGCCCCACTGATGTTCCTTGCAACCTGTGCCAAATCTCCTGGAATTTCACAGGAATTTAAAAGGGAGAAGGAAAGAGCCACCCAGCCTTTTTTGGAGGGTAGGGATGGATTAGTACAAGTCTCCTTAGAAGCATTTCACCTGCAAGAGGGAGTCTTGTGTCTGCCTGGGGGCATTGCTAAGCACCAGTTTGGGGTGCTACAGGTCAGGCCAACCTCTCCACCACCTTCTCAGTCCCACTTACCTGACCCTGGAGATGAGGACTGTGGACATCACACAGGAACCTGCTGCTCTGGCCTTTGTGGTTCTCAGGGTGGTCAAGGCTGCTCACAGTCCTCAATTAACTTTTCAAGGAGAATCTGGCACTGCTGAAGTATAAAGGTTAATGTTTAAGCTGCAGAGAAAGGAGCAGAGCTGACATGTATTAAAATCTGCCAGCAGGGTGGAAAAGCACGGGAACATTTCCAAATGAAAAAGGCAGGTTAATATCAGGGGGGCAGCTGGGCTCCAGGCTGGGGGTTATGGCTTTTATTAGCTTGAAAAATTACTTATAGAATCATAGAACCAGCTGGGTTGGAAGGGACCTCCAAGATCATCAAGTTCAACCCTTATGTGGTGGGTTTCAATGCCAGGGATCTTTGGTGTTACAGGTGTTCTTTAGCTGGGAAGAACAACATTTATTGAATGGCCAGATTGCTGCCACAGGGTGAAGGGAAGGGGACACATTAATGCCAGGTCAGCTCTGCTGCAGGCCAGGGCAGGACACGACAGCAGAGTGGCACAGGAGGGGAAATGTCCAGCAAGTGGAGAAGTGGTGGCACCTGCTTGCAGCCCACAAGTGTCTCTGCAGTCCTGCAGAGCAACCAGGGGGGGTGAGTGCGGTGTCAGTGACTCTTGGGATCATGGAGATGGAGGAAAAAGCCACATTTTAAAGGCAGTGGTGCAACATCTGTTCAAAACACTACTGAAGGTTACTCCTCACTGGTCAGTGCAGTTATACATTGCAAATATTACACTGAATACTTACTGCAGTCTTACTGCTACTTGTAACTGAAATATGGAATACCCTAAATTATGATGGGCAGTAAATACCAGTTTGCTGTTGCAGAAAGGAACTGCCCAGCCTTTCAAAGGGTGGAAAATAATTTCTCTTGCTTTCACGAATGGTGCAATAGGTGCTGGAGTTTATGTAAAGTTTATTGGTCCTGTAGGATATGTCACTGTTTGTGTCTATAAGCTGTTGTTATAAACAGATTTAGCAGGATTAGTCTGCCACTCTAGCAAAAAAACATTTCCTCAAAATAATTTGTCAGTGGCATTGTTTCCTTTCAAGGTGTTTGCTCCTGGCAGGCAGGAGCAGAGAGGAAGCAATTAACTGTTAACAGGCTAAGGATTTCTTGGGAAAGGCAAAATGCCTTCTTAATTAAAAATTAAGCAAACTGCTTTCAAAATGTGCCACATCCCTCCTCCTCCTTTTCTTCCTCTTCAGCTGTGGCTGCTCCCCTTCTGCCTCTCATAGCCCTGACTCCTTGGATCAGACTCTCCTTTTGACCTGGCAGTGTAGCCACATTCTTTCCAGCCCCACTTCTCTTTCTCGTTGGCTTATTCCCTTCTCTTTTTCCTATCTTTTATTTTCCTCTGATTCCTTTCTACTTTCAAGCAAGGATAATAATAAAATCAAAATACCTCTCTGCAACATCTTCTACCACTTTTTATTTTCAGTTTTTTGCTACAACTTCTTGGGTGTCTGACTTGCTTGCAGTCCAAAGCAGGATGGGAAGAAAACCAGGTTATGGTCTGACTATATTTGCACTCTGTGTTCTTTATATTAATGCCACAAATCAGAACTTTCCAGTCCTCTCTTCTGCCCTGGAAACTTTATATAAAGAGGTCAGACTCTTCTGTCTTCTCTGGATGAGAAAAGAATGAGTGAGTAGAAGCAAAAAGCCCTACCTAAAAAGTTTCAACCTGCAAGTTTCCCATGGAATTGTTGTCCTTAATAGGGACACAAAATCCATGTGACAAATAATGCACCTGATAAGAACAGATGGAGCAAATCAGGGGACACTGGACCTTTGTAGCATTAATCAGAAATCATATTTCTTTATCAAATGAGGAAATATGATTTGGCACATCCCTGGGTGATGGATAATGGGCTACAATAACTGTGCCAAGACATATATTTATATTAGTGTATTGCTGTTTTATTATTAGCACCTGGTGCCAACTCTACAAAGCAACTGTTTGCTTTATTTTCAGGGTAGAAGAAAGTTTTAAAACCTTATTCTGGTCAATATTTGGCTTATCTGAAGTGATATCTGTGGTGCTGAAGTACGACCATAAATTCATTGAGAATATTGGATATGTGCTCTACGGAGTCTATAACGTGACTATGGTGGTGGTGCTGCTCAACATGTTAATAGCCATGATCAACAACTCCTATCAGGAAATCGAGGTAAGAAAAGAAATTAGGTTACAGACTCAGTGTGCTTAATTATTGATAATGAAAATGCTAAAACAAACAAACAAGGAAGCTGTAGCTTATTTTGTGTCCAAGATTAGGATTCTGACCACACATCTCACACTGTGCAAGAGTTGAGGTCGAGTCTGTCCCCAAATTATAATTGAATTAATCATTAACAGTGAATCATTTCTAGAACAACTTCAGCTTCCTTGTTTTTAATGACCCTCTGTGCGTAAACACAATTTCCCTTACATGTATTTAATGAAAGTTGTTCATGGTATTTTTTATTCCCTGTGTTGGTTGTGATAACTTCTCCAAATGTGTTGCCTTAACTGCATTGTTTGCTTATAACAAAGTAATATTTCATTTGGCTTTTTGCCCTGTTCTCTCTTTTTGCCCTCTTAAACTCTCCAGCCCATGTAGAACTGAAGCTCATGTATATATATTTAAAAATTCCATGTTTTCCAGCTACCAAGCACACAAAATTGATTCAGATGATTTTTTTTTTTTTTTTGAGGAGTCTCTAGGTCTGAAAATTATAACTGCCTGGACATTCACAAAAAACAACTTTTAAAGCATATAAACAGAGCCCTCAAGGAAAAGGAATAGTTTCTCAGAAAGGCATTTGCAGGGTTTACCCAGCCTGGCTCAGTAGTGTGGCTGTTGGCAGAGTGGGTTTTGCTAAATGCTTTAGACATAAACAACTCTCTGCTATTCTAAATAAAGGCAGAAAAAAATACATTATTTGGAGAATGTTAATGTTGAGTCACCTCTTACTTCTGATTTGTTAAATGTCAAACTTCTGCAGTCGGGTTTGTATTAATTAGTTGTCCTAATCTCCCCTCAGAGCCTGACACTGAAAAAGGCCAGAGCTGAAAATATTTTCTCACTGTAATGTCTGATTCATCCATGCACTGTAGTGCAAATATAACTCAATCCTGTGTGTGCTCTAACAAAGTCTAAATGTCAGGGAGACCTTACATGTGCTCCCTGCCCCAGAATCTTCCTGCTTGCAGCAGCAGAGCCATTTCTCCAAAGGTTTCTAATCACTTAAGGACAAGCATTTTCCTGAAGCTTCTTCATTTCCCTGAATCTTCTTCACCTGAAACAAGCTTTACTTCAGAAGGGGTCTCAGTCTCTTGCTGCATTTTCTAGTTCAGTATAGCAGACAGGGATGCTCTTGAGAGTTTTTGAAGAAAATAAAACTCTGAAAATACCTGAATAGGTGGCCTATATTAACTTTCTAGTCTAACCTTTGTGATGAGCAGTTCCCTGGCAAAATGCTTTGTCATCCTTCTTGATTGCATGGAAATTTTCAAAATTTGGTTCAAGATTACCTGTAACTGTCACCAAGGAAAACAAATGTGAGCTGCCTGGCCCTGATCCTCCTAACTGAGGAAAAACTAGTGCATCTCCTCCTAATTCACTTCAGTCCCTCAGCAGCAGTGAGGTTAAAGACAGTCATACAATCACAGAGTTGTTTGGGTTGGAAAAGACCTTGTAGATCATTGACTCCAACCATTAATCCAGCACTAAACCATGTCCCTAAGTGCCACATCTACATGTGTTTGAATATAGCCCAGGGATGGAGACTGCAGAGAAAGTCCCTTTTGCCACTGTGTTTATCTGAGAGCAGCAAAGTCAGTAGTGACAGAGGACGGACGTTTCTTAGGAATTAAATTCCATTAGGGACAGTGGGGACATGATTTGCTTGTCATCTGGAGTGACAAGTCCATGTTCTCCTGCCTTCCATTGAACTTCTCTCTTCAGCTGCTTCTGGTTTTCTTCTGTTTATGCCTCCAGTGCTGGTGTGTCCTGACAAATTTTGCACTTAGGGAAAGAAACATCCTTTAGCCAGCTATAAAACAGAATTGCTTCCATCAGCAGTACTTCTTAACTGCTTAACAGAAAGGCATTACAACTGTCCACGAGTGATTTAGTCTGTAATTCAGCTTGGGGCTTCTGTGAGGTGGAACCTCAAACCATGAGAAGAGCAAAGGGCAGCAGTGAAGTGAAGACATATTGCTGTAACTGTGACAGAATTAACCTCTGTTGTGTCGTGCCAGTTTTTGACTGAGTTTCAGAGCTACAGGGTAATCAGAGGTTATTAATTTCAGCAGAACACAGATGTAAATGAGTACGGGGCATTGGCAGACCCACACTTCTATTGAAACCATGTAAACCACAGGGAAGAAGCTTTTCAGCAGCTGTATCTCATCCTTTCTTTTCCTGATACATGGCCCTGACCATCCTCCAGTATAAATGCCAAGCAGATTCATAAAATATTTGCTAACTTTGCCCTTGTTACTTGGAAGTGATTCTGGCCCACCTTGACAATTCATGAAGGAGATTCACAGGCAGTGCATGATGGACTTTTTCTCCACCTTCAGCAGTGACAGGACGTGCATAGGAGGAGAATTAAAGTGTATTGATCTATGGAAAAGAGGACCCATGAGGAAATGAGCTGGTGACAGGAGAATGCAGTGACCTGATCTGTGGGGGATTCCTGGCTACTGAAGTGGTAGAGGTGACAAACAGCTTTGCAGTTAATCACACACAGTCTGTTGTTGTGCTCACAACAGTTTCTTCTGCTTTCCATGACTCTGTCTGTGTTCTGACCCATTCGTTTATCAGCATAGCACAAAGTGGTTGCTGAGACAATTCCTTTGATATCCAAGGAAATAGGAAATAGTCTAATATTTGGAGGACTTCTACTCTCTGTTTATTCACTGCTTTGTTTAAATTTTCCTTATTTGGGGATTACCACAAAGAGACACGTTTTGTGCAGGGGCCTTGTTCTGGTAAATAGAATCTGATTCTAGTCAATTCCTAACTGTGTGTTTGTCCTTGTCATAGCTAAATTCCTTCCTATTTACTAATTTGGATGTTGATTTGTTTTTCCCCTCTTGCCTTCCCAAGGAGGATGCAGATGTGGAGTGGAAGTTTGCACGTGCCAAGCTCTGGCTGTCCTACTTTGATGAAGGAAGGACTTTACCTGCTCCTTTCAACCTAGTGCCAAGCCCTAAATCATTTTATTATCTCATACTGAGAATAAAAATGTGCCTCATAAAACTCTGCAAATCTAAGGCCAAAAGCTGTGAAAATGATGTCGAGATGGGGATGCTGAATTCCAAACAACGGGTACGTTTTATCTTCACTTTTCAGCTTCTTTCTGGAAAGGATTCCTGCCAGGGACCTTCTGGAGGGGGTTGCACGGTACAGAGGGAGATCAGGGACAGCCCAGCCTCTCACTGCACCTCTGCATTGTGTGTTATTTGAATTACATTTCAACCAGAGGCTCCTCCCAAGCTTGTGACCTCATTGCATGAGGTCTGGGCACCAGGGAAGGGCAACTTTTATAAAAGCAGGCACTTTGATAAGGGAGTTTCCCAAGGTCGAGGAGAAGGGCAGAAGCAGAGGCACAACCAGGCTCCCAGCTTGTCTGACAACTCATCTACCCAGCAGGCCTTTATGCCTCTTCAATTCATCCACCTTCCTCAAAGTAGTTTCCAAATTAATTTTACTGTCATTACATTTACTGTCATTACAACATTTACTGCCATTCCAGGTTTGGGAACAGATTTCCAGGCAGGGATTATTAACACTTAAATACCTAAAGCTCTATTTAACAACCTCCCTCGTTACATCTGCCTAGTGATGTGTAGCCACTAAAGGGGAGATCCTGGCTCAGCATTTGAAATAGAAATCTGCTTTTGAAATGCTGGCTCCACGGCAGAATGATTTCCTCAGCACCAGTGTGTCCACATGGCAAAGCAAGAGAGAGATGCAGGAGTATGCCTGGCATCCAGACCCTTCCCAGGGGAATTAGCCTTGCTCCTCCATGGGGAAATGCCAGAGAAATTAGAGAAAATTATGTTGCCTGTGGGAAATCATTCTCTGCGACACTGTGCAGAGGGTCACTGGGATGAAGCTTTCCCAGCACATAAATTTATGACAAACATATGAAAAATTTATGACAAATCCCACTCCCAGGGCAGGTCCACTTGCTTTGCTTTGGAGAAGGAAACACCAAAAGATTCACAGGAATTCAGCCACAGCAGCTGCCATTAAATTCTGGGAATTACAGGGTCACAGAATATTCTGAGCTGGAAGAGACCCACAAGGATCACCAAGTCCAGCTCTTAAACGAATGGCCCATGGAGGGATGGAACCCACAACATTATTACTGGGACCCTGGTCTAACCAGCTGAGCTGATCTCAGGCTTTTCAAAAATGCAAGGAGACAGCTTTGCTTGAAAGTGTCCTGGCCTTTACTTAATGTTCTCAGCTCGAGGTGGGTTTGAAAGAAAAGAACGCTGGGAAACCACTCCTGGCGAAAAAGAAAAGCTCCCCAAAATGTGTGGTCACTTATTTCTTACAGTCAGGGCTCATGAGAGGTCCTTTGGCCACTTTTAGCTACCTCAAATAATTCAGAAAGATGATATTTTTTAAAAGTTATTTGAATGTAACCCCACAAAGCCCTCTTTGTTTGAAATTTAATTTCTACTTCAAGCATAAACCAAAGTAATAACATTTTCTCTAAGCCTCTCCTTCCCCAAGCCACACGAGTGAAATTGTCTGGCTTGCCCTTTTTCATGGGACTCATGCAAAATTCATATTTTCCATGGCTTTAACATAAACAACTAAGAGTATCAGTCATTTCTTGCTTGCCTGTTGTTTTTGTTCACAAATCATCTTCAAAAGTCTCTGTAAGATCGTGACACATCTGATGAGTAAGAGAGAAATAGGAAAAAAACATTACCTGATTAATCAGATTTTTAATCCAATCATTATATGAATCTTGATTTGAAAAAAAAAAATAATCAGGATCTCTGGTTCATCAGGAAAGAAAAACCCTTAACCAGGGCCTTCCCTCTCTATATAATTGCACATAGTTACAGAATTCTGTGATATACATTGTCTTCTCTGGGTCTATGATATGAATTAATTCCCTTGAATAAGTAATTTTATTTTTTTTTTGTTAGCATTTGGACCAAAAAATTCAGAGGTGGAAAACAGAGTCAAAAAAACCTCTTACAAATGTGTATACTCTCCAGAAAAGCCTCCTTGGAAGCTTCTAGAGTGTTGTGTCCTCTGATAAAAATATGATGGTCTATTTAAAAAAGCACATATTTTTTTTTGAGCCAAAAGAAGTAGCAAATGGTACTGCTGTAAAAGGACCCGTGAAAATCAATTGGTTTGAATGTGGTTTTGTACCATAGACTTGTTTTCTCCAAACATAAGTATTTCTTTTTCTTCCTTTCTTGTGTTCTAAACTGGTAATCATCAGCCTCATTAAGATTAAAGTATTTTGTGCCTCTTAACACCTTGTTGTAAAATTTGTGGGTGAATACTATTTCTAATTTAGAATCTAAAATTTTCCATTTGTGTGGTTTCTCTCTTTCTCTCTCTTTTTTCTCTCTTTCTTTTTTCTCTTTCTCTCTCTTTCTCTCTTTCTTTCTCTCTTCCTTGCTCTCTTTCTTTCTTTCTTTCTTTTTTAAGCCTGAACATGCTGGATTTTACTCTACTCACACATTGAACCATTTCCTGATTTTATAATGCTCTGTTAATTTGGGGCTGTCTGGGTATGAGGAGCTCTCACTGATTTACTCACATCACGATGTTTTATAATTTCAGAAAGTTCGTTTTCACTCTATCATTCAAAACACCGAAAATTTTTCGGGGAAGAACGCTTATAACAAGCCCACAAGATACCAGGTAATCCCAGCATGAAATCAGGAGCCAGGGGAGAGCTGTGCCAGTGAACTGCTCTGACCTGCAGGGTCCTCTTTGCCTTCTTCCAGTGCTGCCACCCCGGGATGTGCCTGGAGGAGCCTCAGCTCGGGCGCGGGGCTGGGCCGGGGCATTCTGGGGCCAAACACAGCCTGTCACCCGCGGAAATGCTAATCGATGTCATGCTAATTAATTCCGCCCGAGGGAACTTAATTTAATCCAAGAAATATCATTCGACCTCTACTCCTCCAGTCTTGCACCGACAGCATTTCATCCTCCATGGCACAGATCCATCCCTCCAGCTGTTGCATCAACATCTGCATGTGCTTTCTCTGGCAGTGACTTGTCCTTCCAAGCTAAACCTGCAATGTGCTACTGTTCTAAATCCCCCTGTGGCTGCAGTGGGTGCCATAAGTAACACAAATCTCTGTCTTGGCAAGAGTTTTGTGCCAGCAGATTTATTTTTTTCTTGTTGGGCAATACAAGAAATACAAGCGTTCCCCACAGGATATTCTCCTTCTTTTTTAGCATAAAGTGAAAAGGAATCTGGTGGCAAGTGGTATGGCTGAAAGGCCCAACATTAAAGAGAGTTGAGGAAAATAATAATTAAGTGGGATAAAAGGTGCGATGGCAATTCTAGAAGGGTTTTGGCCTGGGTCCAGCACCCAGCACAACAGGCTCCTAAGCTGCACAGCAGACCAGTGATAAATGTCTACTGGTTTGAAAAATCTTTTAGGTTTTTGTGCCATGATAGGAGGGGTATCTAAAAATCCAAGCTAGAAATAGGATACATTCACTCCGGCACCTGGAATTAGTTGGTTTGATACCACCAAAAAGATGAGAGATTGTGTCCTGCTCAAAGTGACATTTCAGCCCTTCTGACATTTCCCCATCCACCCAAACCCCCAGGAGATGTGTCAGCCTTTGCTGGACTTGTTCTCTTCCTGTAGCTATTTTTTTTTTTAAATGAGACCACCTAGTGTTTGTGGTAAATTAACCCCTTATTTCCAAGATAGAAAAAGCCAAATGTAGCTGTGAAAAATAGAGAGAAAAAGACAACTAACTTTATTCAATAATGCTGCTTCTTGTTTTGTCTTTAAATTATCTTGGAATGCTTCAGTTGCTGCAGGAAGAAATTGCCCAAACAATATAAGGCGACTTTAGTAATCTTGATCATCTAAATATAAAGAAGAACAAACAATGTGATAATCTGACCAAGAAACTTTCTTCTACAACTGGGAAAACCTTTGAAGCAGTTGTTTCTTGCTGAACTGTTTTCTTTAGCAACATTTATCCAGTGATGCAGCTGCAGTCTGTGCACTTGGACGATATATGGACAAGAGGGTATTTCAGTCATTGTAGCAAAAGGAGCAGAGCTGGGGAGAAAGGGAGGAGCAAGGCTTGGAAGCCCCAGTGCAATATTGAGGCAAAAAAGTAATTACTTTCCTAAAGACACCAGCAGAAAAATCTAATAAGACTCTTGTCACATTTAAAATATTTTTTGAACGAAGCGAGTGGTCACATCTAAAATATGTCGTTTCTGTAGACAAATCTGGCTACAACATCCAATTCATAGACTAGGCAGCCTTAAGTTTGTGACTTCTGTCACACAGGGTGATTAATTTAGGATAACATTTGAGTAGCACCCATAAAAGTCCAAGCCTTATGGGAAATGGAATAGAGAGATATTATGTTATCATTTTTTTTCCAGGTAATAAAAGCATCCTCTATGTGCTGATTCCTTGTTTTAATCTAAATTTCCTCCACTCTGAAAAAAAATAAATAAATAAAATAAATAAATAAAAAATTTCTTTTTGGATCCAGGATTTCCCTGCTCTCCCCAAACATTCCTTCATTTATGTTTTCTCAGGTGACAGCCCTACCTCCCTCTGGATTCTACTACCTTGGCCATCTTCAACACACCGTACGTGCGCTGTGCCCTACTGACCCACCTGCTTAGCCAGCTGCCTCCCTGACACAAGGACACTCTTAGACATCCCATATTCCATGGCTCCATGGCATAGACAAATGGCTGGATCCTTCTTTGATCTCCACATGCCTTTGGCACTGCTATAATCCTTATTTGGCTGCTAAGACACCAGAGCAGGTGTACTGATTTCTTAACTCGTGTTTCACACCCTGCAGTGTTTTCCAGGGATGTTCAAAGCAGAGACCTGTGGCTGCTCTGGGAATAAGTGAGCCCAGGCTGGGAAAGGCTTTTCCCTTATCAGTGGCCATCTGGTCAGTGAAGGACGTTTAGGTATCTGTTCTTGGATGCTGACAGCTCTGTTTGCAGGGGGTGCACCTAAATCCCTGTCTCTGACAGAGCAATCCTTTTTGTGCCTGTCATAGTTGAGAGTTTTTTCCCCATCAAGTGCCTTTCCTGTAGTGAAGAACTGGCAATGTCACAGGCCTCCAGTTATAACCCAAGACTGCCAAAGTTACTTTCCTTCTACATAACTGGAACTTACATATTTTTGGAACAATATCACATTGCAAGCTCATATCCACAACCATCTTCAATTTCCATATACTTAGTAAGGAATACTTTCTATACTCCTTACTAAAAACCATCTTCCATTTTATAAGTCTACATGGCTCTATTTTTTTCCCTGTTTATGCCTCTTAAAAAAAATCTGTCATTTCCTTAAGAAGCTTCTCTCATTTAAGACAAGTCCCATTCTTCTGTTCAAACTCTCTTTTCTCTTTCCTTCTCTAAATTTATTTTCTCCTAAACCCTCAATTGCAAGGCTAACAGAGTCTTGCTGTGAACCTGCTTGATACATCATTGTGAGTGAGTTTGCTAACATCATTAACTACTTATTTTTTCCTGTTAAGTATCTTTTATCGTTGCATTGAACAGCAACATGCTAAAAAAAGGCTCTGGAACCCATTTCTTACCTTTCTATTGGATCATCTGATTCCTTTCTGTCAGTGGGACGTGCTCTACATTCACGTGCATCCCATCAAACACCCCGAAGTGCTTCATATGTGGGGTCATAATGGCTGTCAGTCAACCACTGCAACATCCATAATATAAAATATACAATAAATGGGAAGTCAATAAAGAATCACCCATAGTTTCAGTTGCCCATAATAAGTCTAGAATTGAGACAAGGTGGACAATCTCATGTGAACAGAAGTGTTTCTGTTCTCCTTTCAGAAAATCATGAAGCGTCTGATCAAACGATACGTGCTCAAGGCTCAGGTTGACCGAGAAAACGATGAGGTCAACGAAGGCAAGTGGATTTTTATAACTCACACATGGAATGAGCTTGTGGTATGTTTGCTACTGATCTGGCCAGCAAGAGGGTTGAGCTTAGAGAGCATCCTCTGTAGAGAGAGAGCTCACTCGTGCTCGCAGTGATGACTCTGAGCCACCTCTGAGCTCCTCTTTTTCCTTAGCAGATCACACATCTCCTAAGATATTACACCATCCTGCTATACCTCTCCTTCTTCACAACAACCAGGGTATTGCCAACACCCAACTTGGTGTCTAAGTAAAGCAGTTTCTGGCTGCACTGCCCAGGCCTGCCCCTAGGATACTTTTTTTGAGTGGGGTATGGATTCCTATTGCCATGGTGGCGGGGAGGACTTGAATGCAGATGGAAAAGAACCTCCAACACCTCTTAACTGCCACCTTCCTGCAAGTGCCCTGTGTAGGTAGAGGTCAATATGTGGAAAGAGAACAGATTTAAGAAAAAAAAATACAAATTTTCCATACAGGCTCTCTATTGGTGTCAGCACCACTGCTGCAAGTGCAGGTTATTTCTCATGAATACAAATATTAAGTGCCTAATGCAGGGAGTGCCTAATGCAGCTCCACACACATCCAGACCAAACACACTGAAAATAGTGCTCCCTCTCAGCTCTTAAAACCACAGGGGCTACTTACTTGACTCAGTGTTGCTAACAAGAATGTTTTCTTCCTTTTAGGAGAACTTAAAGAGATCAAACAAGACATTTCTAGTCTGCGCTATGAACTCTTAGAAGAGAAGTCCCAAGCTACTGGTGAGCTGGCGAAACTAATACAGCAGCTGAGTGACAAGTTTGGGAAGACCCTAAATAAGGACATTTGATGGTGAATACAGAAAGGCAACTGGTTTTCTAAACATTATTCGGTCTCAACCAGCATCTTAGGAGGGCAAAAACCACCTAAAAGTTGGGTACTGCACACTCAGCCTTTGCTGGCAGCAAGTGTAGGAGCATTTTGCACCACTTGGTGAGTTAGCAGTTAAACCACTTCTGATACAAAAGTGACTTATTGGTAAAAATACCTGCCCTTTGACATGAGAAATAAGTGCACCACAGAGAAAGCACCTCCAGTTAAAGGCAAAAAATGCAGATCTTCATCCATCTTACTCTAGAGAAGACAATGTAACTGTGCTCACTTACAGTAACTGAGACTGTCCTGACCAGGATTTGGGTCAAGTCTGAAGAAAAAAAATGTGCCAAACATATTCCCTGCAAAATGTTTTAAATTCCTATTCTTGGGTGTGTATTCTCCTCTTATGTTTACATGGGCAGCCATGAAGATAACTCTGAGCAGCACCGTGGCTCGTGGCAAATAAAAAGTCATCTGCTGAAATGACCAAGGCAGAGTATGACACAGAGAGAATGGATGACAGAGTTGGAAAAATCATCCTTTCACCCCTCTGCTAGAACCTGATAAAAGGATTTCCAGCCAAAAACTCCTCTCCACCTTGTCCAGCTGTATTAGCCAGCCTGCTGATGGATGGGGGCTCTCTCATGCACCCAGCCTCTCTTTTGTCCTTAAATGATCCCAACTCTGACAACAGTGTACTGGAATATCCATCCTGATGTGAAACCCACTTCCCAGGAATACCCACAGATAAAATACCTTGTGCTGTTGTGTTCAAGGAACAACATTCATCCAGAGACAGCAATGAGCTCAGCTTTCAGATTCCAGAGGTCAAACAGCAAGCCATAGGGTGAGGTCAATCACGAAGAACAAGCCCTTGAAATTAACACAAAAAAGGCTTCAATTGAACATTCTGACAAAAAAAAAAAAAAGGAGAAAAAAAAAGGAAAGAAAGGAAAAATCAGTGTAGAAATTATTGACTTACGTGTTTGGCTCTTACAGAGGATGAGGACAGGATTAAACCTCTTCTAAGGCTGAGGTAAAACAAGGACTCAGACCACACTTTTACAACAGGAAGGAGATGAGTCTGTGGATTTCTCGGGATTTCCCAGTTAGCTCCAGGATTTCAACTACTTAAAGCACACCTTACTACTTGGGAACCGTGGAACTGTGCTGTTTGTTTACAGGAGACACCTCTAAGATGAACAGGACATTTAGGGATCAGCTGAGACAAACAAGCAGAGCCAGAAGGTGACCTGTGACCAGTTCTTAAGTGCCAGATGAGAATACAGATAGCCTAATAGAATAATAGTTATATTTGTACAAAAATCAAAGAAAACAAAATTTAAAAAAAAAAAAGTGGACTGTACGTAGATCTGTTTAGAGACAAAGCAAAATACTGTATTTTTACCTTTAATAAGATTATCTTGTATACTGTAATATTTTTACCTAAAAATGGAAACAAAATAAAATTACCTCATAATATTTTGTTGTACATTGAGTGAAATATTTGCTTGATCTTTTGACTACCTCATACATGGCCTTTTCTTTTGCTTTTCTATGATATGTGAACAATGGAATCACTATATGAAGCAATCTTGCCTTAGTAATTCCGAAGGCAAAAAGAAAGAGCCAAAACTCAAAACAAACTAAAATACATTTTAAAGGCATAAAACTAAGGAACTGAGAGTTCCATGACCAAGTACAGTCTGCAAAAACGACTCCTTATTTGTGGTGCTTAATTTGAAATTATTGTGTCATTAACATGTTTGTAAAATGACCTTCTAAGAACAGAAATTCAGCTCCTCTGGCTTCAGAAAAACATGGTGCTGGTACCAGTGTGGAAGCAAAAGTGAAATGAGTAACAAAAGGTTTATAGGCTTTAGCTGGTAAGACAATTGAAAAGGATTTGCCCTGATTACACAAATTAAAGTATTTCTGTACCCTTCCCATTTAATGTTTTAGCATCCCTTAGGAATTTAGGGAGAATTATTCAAGGTAGAACGTACAACAACCACCATATTTTAAATTTCTCGTTATACTGAACACAAGTCCATGAAAAAGTTTGGTGGGAACACTCTGCCCTGGTTTGGACATTTAAATGCAGCTCAGCAAAATGCCTGATCTGAAGCACAGCAACAGCAACAGGAATATTCTCCTGCTGCTGAATATTGCAGTCAGGGCATGTTCTGGTCAGCACAAAGAACACCACACCGTGAATAACTTTGCTGAATTTTGGGCTCCCAGGTGGAGGCCCAGCCTGTCAGCTGCTGCTCTCACAGCTTCTGTGCAGGGGAAGCAGTGCAGCCCTGCCAGGGGGAGTTAGGATGCTGCTCTCACTCAGGAATCAGCCAGGAAAGAGCCCAATATCCTCTAGGACTTCAAAAGCAAACTAAAAGATATCTTAAAAATACTGCTAAAAGGCATCTGCTTCCTCTCCTTTCACATTTACATTCCTGAAAGCATCTAGGCATGGAGATTTTATATAAATATCCATGGCAAGCAAAATCCCACTTCATCAGAGCTCTTTTCTAGTCTGGCTCCCAGTAACACACCCAAGGAAGCTGCACAGCAGAAGCATCATTAAATTCATGGCTTATTCTCAAGGTTAGTTTATAAGAAGTTAAAACTGAGAAGCCTCACTAAAAGATCCCTGAGAGAACTTAGAGAGTTTGAAGAGGAAAAATCAAAGTAGGTTGGTCCCAGGTTGGATTAGACCTGAGATGTGCAGGTCCTCTGTCCCATCTCCCATCACCAGGGACCTTCCCATGGATGGCCCCACATCCCATCAGCCCTGGCAGTGCCACAGCAACTCCCCTGCTGAGTTGAATTTGATCCAGTCTGTTACACCTCTAACTTTGTAATACAGATTTTAGTATTCCTTGGACAAATTCAAGCTGTGAAGGAATGAAACTTTACCCAAATTCGTTGCTGATACAGAATTATAACTTCTCATGGGAAATATGTTAGAGGGAGGTCACATGAAGATGAAAGGAACCTGAAGTCATGCACATAAGGGTGAATATTCTCCAAGAGATCATCATAATTCTGCAAATCCCCCAGGCCAATCAAACTAGCACTTAAAGAGACACCCTGAGGAAGATCAGAACAAAGTCATTCACCAGCCAGTATTGATTTATTGACTGCCCACATCCCTAGACAGTTGTTTCACTCCTTGCAAAGACCAAACCAGTCAGCTGCTGCTAACAGAGAGGAGAAAACAACAGGAAGCATTAACAGGATTTGATATTTCATGGGGCAGAAGTGCCTGGTTTTAAGCCAGGAACCCCTGATGCCCAGAGGTGCAAATCCCAAAACAAAGGAGCTGCCCAAGGGCATCTGTGCAGCCCACAGGGCAGAGGTGATGCTTCACACACAGCTTTGCTCTCCAGCTGGACTAATTCTGCCTGCAACTTTATGGAGAACAACTAACAACTGCTGTCCTCAGTTTCAGAAAAACATGGTTTAAAAGCAAATATTAAGAAGAATAAGAATGGTGTAATGAATAATGTCTTAGAAGACTGCCTGCATCCTGACCAGAGCTCATATTAAATTGTCAGAGCTAGGCTTTATTCTTAATTAATCCACATGAGGAAAGCATTTCCAGCAGGCCAAAAGAAATTGCCCTAATTAAAAGATGCAAGGAATTAATGATCGCTCGGTAAGGACAAACCAGGACACAATCCATCACCACAAAGGCAGGAGAGACCTGAGCCAGGGTTTCAGACACAGCTCAGCCCTGAGCAGCAGGGCCAGGGTTTCAGACACAGCTCAGCCCTGAGCAGCAGGGCCAGGGTTTCAGGCACCTCTCCAGCTGAGAGCAGATCTCTGCTGCACCACAGCCAGCCCTGGGCTGCAGGTGAGGAGGGAGGAGGCAGAACTCCTCCTGCATTGCAGGCAGACCCTGCCACAGAACAGCTCTGCTGCCTCTCAGGCCCCAGGCAGGAACCTGGCAAACAGGTCGTGTCATTCCTCACTTGGCTCCCATTTGCTTCCCTGACCAACCAGCAGGTAGGGAAATGAGAGCCACAGCTTCATAGCCAAGGCTGTGCTGCCAAGTGGCTCTCAGATGGAAAGGATAAGTGTTTCCTCTATCCAGACACTATAAATACTTTTCTTGTGACCCCCAAAAGCAGCTCTGCCCTTGCTTTGACCACAGATCTCTCACCATTACAGTGTTGGATGTCACAGGCAGCTTTGCTCCCTCCTTCACCCACCTGGTTCATCCCCATCATTTTTCCTTGGCCATGACTGGGCTGTAAACCCTGCAGGCAGTAAACCTGATGCTGGACACCAGCCTGCACAAACTACACCCTTGAACAACTCACATTTTTAATAAAAAAGGGTAGAGGTGGGACAGGAGAAATAGTCTTAGCTTCCAGTGAAGGAAGGGAGGTGCAGAGAAATTCAGGGATTTGCCTTAATGACCTGGAAGGAAGGGGCAAAAATGGGACTGTGCCTCTGAATCTTATTGGAATAAAAACATATCCATTAGATTTGCCCTCTCTTAGTCCCTGTTCTGTATCTTTGTAGGGCACATACTCCTGAGTGAGGGCTAAGTTCTGCCAATGCCTTATGCCAGGAGCACAAGAGCAACAACAGGATAAAAATAATCATTGCCTCAGTGATCATACATCATTTGGGAAGTGATTCTCTCAATCCCTGTGAGGTTTTAATGGTTCTATATCAATAATAAGGTAAATTTTCTCTATAGCTGAATTTAAATCAAATCCAATAAAAAGAGAGGTAATAACCAAAGGGGCATAACAACTAAACAGGTCCTGGAATTCTTGATGCCTTTAGCAGCAGGTAGAAGGGCACTTCACTCACTCCAGGTCATTTGTAACAGATATTTAACACAAACCTGCAGTGTGATAAAAGGGATTTTGAAGACCTTAAAAGGTTAATGAATAGCTAATGAGCTTGTTAATATACAACTAATGTTTACTATAATACAGACTAATATTTAATTCCCTTACTAATGATTAATTATTCTGCTGTAAGAATTTAATTAGGCTTACACAGCAGGAGCATGGGGGGATCTGGT